AACCTATTTTAAAAATTCTTTCACGGAACGGAAAGCTACATTATCAGCAGCTGGTAGTATATGTTACTCACATAGACTATCTTTAACCACGATAACCCGCGAAAGCTAGTATATATATGAAATGTTTAAACGGCAACAGACAGAACTCCTTTCATTTTTTAAATGTTACGAAAAGCAATCGATCACTTTAATTTGACATGCAAAAGTAACTGAATAGATTTTTTTCTAAAATTAACTTAACTCTCACTTCAATATATATTAGTATGAGTAGTGGGTCACAATTATTGCACTAAACAGTTATGCGACATGGTAAATGTTTTGTCTAACAGCAAGGTTAAAGCGTTCGTATCGTCATGACGCTACTCGCTGCATATCGATATTTAGAAGGCGTTCAATATTCAGTGATACCATTAAATTGGAAAATTTCTATAAGACTTTTAGCACTAACTCATTTGCAAACTATCGTAAAGGAAGATCTCGACAATGAATAAAATTTAAGGAAGGCAAACCAATTCTATAAGCGTTTTGATGCCTAAAAAATCTACGAAGCAGATAATTAAATATTCACGGAACATTAATCATCTAACGGAACATAATAAAAGTTTTACTGGGGTTCTGATTATCGGAATTGAGAACGCAATCGTCCGCAATGGACATAAAATCCCTTATCTTTATAGAATCGAATCCTTAAAATGGTTAAACAGTGTTTACATAACCTAAATAGGATTATAGTAATCGGCAATAACAGTATTATCCTCGGCTTTCAGGTAAAACAAACACAATATTGAGACCGATTTTCATTGAACCCAAAATAATTTGATTTTGACAGGGACTGGATTAAATGTTAATTTAGGTATTTGTTAATTGCGTTCAGCTTTTACAGTTACAATCTGTTTATTTTTGATGGTTTTGAAGGTTTCTTATATTAAAGGTTTTATCCCCATTGTTTCATTTTCAGTTTCGACCACTGTGATTTTAGTTGGACTAATCGACTTTACCGTAACGCAGTAGTATAATTCTATAAGTACGTTAAAAAGCCGTGCAGCTTTCTTAAGCTTTCTAGAAACATTACACATTACAAGCTTTTGGCTTAGAAATTTGGTTCAGCTGGATAAAGGTACCCTATGACCCTTTGTTTGCTCTGTAAACATGTGTACAAAATGCATTACGACTTAATTACTTAACCAAACAAACTTATTCAGTGTCTATATAATCTGATGCCTTTAATTAAGTAGGTCAAAGTATAGATAAAATATAATACAATAAAATGACACCCCACAGATGACATAGTGGTTTAATAGTGTTTAGTGTTGTGGGTTCGATCCCCATATGGGACAACACTTTGTATGATCCACAAATTATTGTTATGAGTCTGGGTGTTCTTTATGTCTGTACTTGTCATAAATACCTATTTGTCTTTACAAATATAGGGATATATCATGTGTCGCAGGGGACTTTTCCCCTGCGACACATGATATATCCCTCGTTCGGGAGTTGTCGTTATAAAGTAAAAATATAGAGAAATGGAAGATATAAAAAATATAAAAGGCTACTTTTATATTTTTTATACATATGGCTTTTTATAGCATATGTCCATACATTATCGATAAGAAAATTTGTTGTATTGTCTATGACTTTCTAAAACATTCATCAGATTGTAATAAAATTTTGGTCCTCTCTCGAGTTTCTTCTAAGGATTTCCGCAAGAGTTTATTGTTAAAATATATACATTTTATAAATGTTGGTTCTGTTTTCTTTCTTAATTCAACTTTAATACCATTAGAATCTTTTTCACTATGTATATTATGTAGCATCAAAACATACCGGATAATATTCATAACTAGTTGACCTGATACGCAACTTCACCTACGTCTCTGAAAAGAAATAAATTACACCCGTTTTTACAACATTTATCATTGATCTGGGCTCCTATTAATCGATTTTATAATAGACTCTATAGCCTTCCGCGGTAATGAAGTATCCGACACAAAAAAAATTTGAGACTAGCGCCTTCAAACAAACAAACACACTCTTTAGCTTTTGATATTAATATAGATATATGAACATACATTTCACAGTATTGTGTAGGGATTGTATTCGAGGAGATTTTTTTTTTATTATTTTACAAGTTTGCTTCTTTACTCGGCTTTTACGACACCTACGGGATGAATAGTTAGTTTTTTAATTAGTGACACTCCGTATTTTTAATCTGTCACCAAACGGATAAACACCAACCTGGATTTTATTTATCTATAATTTGTCATCATAATCACATCACATCAACAGTCTTTAATAGCCCACTTCTCGACATAGGCATCTCTTTAGAAAGGAGGGTTTGTGAGGGGGAGTGATTCTGACAATGACTGTTCATAGAATCTTAGCGATGATAGTGCATTCTGTATTTCTACCAGTCTTTACCCGAGGCTACATTTGAGTAAAAAATATATTTGTATTCTTCACGATGACTACATTTTCTTTATTTTAAAGAAAAAGACTCAACGGTACTAAAAAGCTTTCTCATGTATTAAAACACAGAAGCGTTAGGCAATGGAGATGAAATACTATTTTCTCTTTAATTTCTAATAAACTACCAGACTAACGATAATCCAATATTAATTACATGTAGTAAAAAATCACGTTAATTAAATTCCAACCACGACGTAAGCAATCCCCAACAAAATAGTAGGAGACCAAAAAAAACATAAGCCGGTAAATAGAACCTTCATTATTAAAGCCAGTACATGTAACTTGCCGAAGGCCATCAAACAATTACATCCATGATTAATCTATTCACGTTGGAGTTATTTATGTTTCTTTCCATGGATTCACGTTACGTGAACTATGATTTTCCTTACTTGTTAAAAAAGGGTATAAGATTTCAAAGACACCATTACAATGAATTCTTTTTAAGTCAACTTTTTCGTTAAACGAAAGTTTCTTGTACCAGGAAAACCGAGGTACAGTTTAAATCTCGCCTTTGTTTTGATTTATGTATCAGTTTCGCTATTGCATTGTAAGGTTTAAGTGACAAAGGGTACCATAAAGAGGTAGTTTATTGCCTAGTAGAAATATAGGAGCTGGTAATAACTCATCACAGGTTTACACTTGCGTAAAGGTACCTGATCACCAACTAACTTTCTCATTTGCATTAAGGGGCATAGTCGAATAAATAATTCTTAGTTTTAAATAAATATTTTTCTACATAGTTACCAAAAAAAAAGATTTATTTTATCCACCCTAAAAATTGTCCTTATTTTTGTTTATTCTTTTAGCATATTCGTGCACTTATTTTTTTATTTCAAAAAATATTTTTAAAATAGTTTATTGTTCTGAACAAACCTGTGTATATATTACATATTTTGAAGAACCCATACATTTGGCAGCTTATGTTTAGACTTTTGATTTCCATTTCATTGTAAAACGCTACTTACGATTAAAATCATGAAAGTTAAAATTCACTTTGTAGTGGTTCCGTAATGTAAATAGAAGAATTTTAGTCTTATGTATAATGATGGGTCTGATGCGTCTAAGTATTTGAATAAAAGTACTTAATACTCATTTAGGGAAACGGAAACTTGTCTCAAAATAGGCCAGTTTGAAAACCTAAAGTATTTTTTCTACGGGAATAAATTTTTAGCTTAAAGCTCTAAAACCTCTTTTACTCATTCATGAATGGGGATCATTGAAATAGATCAAGTTTTATATAAAATAAATAATAAAAAAAGCTTACTGCTTGCTAAAAACTTAAAGACTTTTTATAATTTGGTCTCAACGAAATAGAAAGTAAATATCCACAATAAGTCTTATGTAATTGATTTGTATTATATAGATTTAACCACATTGTGTAGAATCGTGTTGTAGAAAATTTATCTCATCTCTAGGAGCATTCAACTCTTCATAATACTTCTATAAACTTCTTTCAGCCTTTATAAAGCTAAACAGAGATCTCTGACTAAATAATTCCTGAGCTCATTCAAGTGTGAATGCCTTTTCCGTCTACAGAGTGTTATTATATAATGTGGCTTATCTTAATTAAAATTTTCTCATAAATTGCTAATATTAAACATGCGCCGTTCCAACACTTGACTTGTTCCGACAGATTTGTTTATGTGATATACGAAGAACATGACATACTTGTGGCATATATTTATTGTTTTATTAAGTGAGTGTGGTTCTTTATTTCAGTTACTAACTTATTTTAGGATATAGTAGATTTAATTGAAGTGAGTATATTTTAAGACAGGATTTATATTTTAAACATTTTTACGAGTTACTGTCACACATCTTTAATATCATTGATCGCAAGATTGATCTTGCGTTTTCTCATTTAAAGTTAAATTACTTTCAGTAACTATCTTAATATCTTAGCCTTCGTAGGGTTTTCGCTTCCAAGAAGGTTTATCTTGTAAATATTACAATGTTTCTTCCAAGAATTTCCAAGAATAGTATTAGTAAAAATGTCTATGTTATTTTTACTTTGTTTTATTTCACTGATGTAAAATAATAGTTGTTGGAAAAATACTTCTTTCAAAACATAAACATCAACGGTCTTGCGTTTATGACTTCAAAGCACTTGAACTATTTATTTAATATTTACTTTACTTATTTATACTTATATTTACTTTACTTTTATTTATTAATAACTTCAAGTTTATTTTATTTCAATTCATAAGAAACAGACTAGTAAAAAAATAATTGAAAGCAAATATTTACTAAAGATTTCTTGACGAATGTCGGTAAGCATCGTTTTTCGTTGTGTTGAGCATCTCTCCGATCTACGCCCCACTTTCAATATTAATACTCTTGCTCTATATAATTGCCTGCAATCTGGGAGCACTCCCAGGGATTTCTTGCGATAGTTTAATCCAGATATATGATTATACAGTTTTGTGATTATGTGTTTAAAAATTGGAAAACAATATTATTCTTCAATATATAAGTAATATAGAAATTATTAATATAAGAAAAGCGTCTTTGTAATAAATGCTTAATTTTAGAGCATGTTATCACTTATTTCATTGGTTTCAGCACTAAATACTATTGTAATTAGCGAGATTGATGTAAATAATACCAAAAACCTCAATAATGCCAGTACAAATAAAGATGAATGCAATATAATTTGCCCGCCAGAAGATAAAATGGCTTGTGCATTTGACGCTGAAACTAGGAAACATAAATTGTTTGCCAATAACTGTACTATGATGTCATATGGAAGATGTCATAATATTGGTAAGTAAGCGTTTTCCCTTTTGAGTTATACAGAGGTATTACCGAAAACTTTCTACGAGTATTAGTGAGAGCCGACGTCGATGTGAATATACAAAGATCATATGAAAAAAGACCATATTCAAAGTTTGCCTAAAACTAAAAGATTAATACTTTAGACATACCTATTCTGAATACTTCACCTAAACTTAATATTTTGTGGATCATCTTTATTAAGTGACTTACTAACCAAAACCTCTGCGTTTGTGGACTAACGGATGTTATATAACTCAAACGCAAAATAATAATCTTTCGACAAGGCTACTTAGTATTAAGTACGTTTTTGTTTTGTTGGTATTTCTTCACACTTTTGGATTCGTAGTGTTTAGCTCTTGGTTGACTTTAGTGTTTAACTAAATGTATCTGGTGGAGAAAATACTACATTTTCCTCTAAATTACACAAGAACAAGCTCAACACGTCCAATCTTACCAATAAATTAATAATTATTAATTGTTCATAAGGTATAAAGATATCTCTTTAGGTATCAATATTAAGACAATCATTATCTTGCTTTTATGAAATAAATTTATATTATACTCTTAAAAGGTATTAGTAGGTATGTAATTGTAAAATAGTTGTAGTAAAATACTTTATTAAAGTTGATAAAAATGACACAAAAAAAAAATTAAAAGATAAGTAAATAAGTCAAAGTATACGTAACAATTTAATTATAACGAATAATCCTTATTAGTATACCAGAGTGCTCCACACATATTAATTTGAGCATTTATGTATGTGGTCATAATGTTTTATTTGACAATCTTTATGAAATAAAGTATGACATAAGACTGTAAAAATATCTTAGTCTGTACAAGTTTTTTTTTTTTTAATTTTAAATCAAAGAAGAACAGCAAGGTCTGTATACCTAGTAATACAAGATGGATGGTTATGAGATTTGTACTGCTTATGAAGTTGAGTCATCTTAACTTTTTTTATATATACATATATCGTGATCGTTAAGTTAGAAAAATTTAAAAATGTCTAACGTTTTGAAGCAAAGCTTAACGGCGGTCGTGCAACTTGCAAAGTTAATTGAAACGATAGTCTCGCAGAATTTCTTGCTCTGCTTTTATTCAAATATGCACAAGAAAAACTAATTTAAACTAATGTTAGACAAGCTTCAGCATAATTTCCATAATTTTATACTCAGAAATAAACAATTCCAAAACATATCTATTTATATTTTTTTGTACATAGCTTCGTGTTTAGAAAATAACAACAAATAAATCTGTACTGTAAAGAGGTTGCAATGCAATCGATTTCGTATTCTATTGTAGTTGGATAAACAAATATGTAATTATTAAGAACACTCTAGAGAACAAATATTTGGATATATTATTCAAATATCTTCCTAACAGGCTTTAACTATTTTTAAACTTATTGGCGTTTAAGGTTCACGATATTTTTTGTCTTTTACAATTTACTTAATTAAATATTGTTATGTGATGATAATGGATACACCGGTTTGCCTGTATTTTATATAAATTAAAGATATGGGGTACTAACTGTTATTGGGAAGTTGTATTTAACAGTAATATTACAGCGCAAGGACTTTCCTTGACCGACGCAGGATTAGTATTTAATATTGGGTATCGTTCGTGTGGTGACGGATTAAGACACAAACGCTATACTAACCCGTCTGGCCAGCGTGGTATAGTAGGCCAAAACCTCCTTTCTAAGGAGAGGCCTATGTCCAACAGTGGACTATAATAGGCTGTTGATGTGTGATGATGATGATGATGATGATTGGGTATCAATCACTTAATAAATGTATTTTCAATGGTCTAGTAAATAATACTTGTTTATTTATTTGGTTAACTCACAGCATATATATGTAAAATAACACTAGATAATAAGGTTCTAATAATCTAGGAAATTTTTGTTCCAAAAATAGTAGATCTGTCACCTAAATTGAATCGCCAAATAATATCGAAACGGTAGCATTCATATTAATTAAGAATTACTTGAAAATATGGTCCAATACTAAAAGAAACATTTAAATTGTTCTCGACTTCTAAACGGCTTCATAACACTGATTTAGTTAAAGCGACGAAAAACTTTAATTACATTAAGCTGTGGGAGAGCCATTCTTCAGCATGTATGCACCGCCTCTGTCAGAGTGATAAAACCGCTGTTCTTTCTTTCCTTTGAGTGAGGTTAAGGGAGGCCGTATTGCCCCTCCCTCTAACTCTGAAGAGGGCACTCAAAGGTAGATAAGGCACTTGTGTCTCTTAAGTTTCAGGTGCAGTCATTTATTATCAGGTGATTTCTAGGCTCGTTTGCCTCCTACACATTAAAAAAGCATATGTTAACCCTTTTCATGGCAATTGTCATCTTCTTATGTCATGGCGATCATTGCTTCCAATTTTTTGTTTTATAAATCGTCTTATTTTTTAATTTATATTTCTCTTATACAGGTTACTTTGAAACAGAAATACATTTTTGTATAAAAGACCAAATGATGGGAACAAGAAGAATGTATGGTGAATCCTGTCCCGTTTTCTGTCCATCGCACTATCGGCCTGTGTGCGGAGCCTCGAAAATGAGGGCATATAACTACCGGGCCTTCACTAATGGATGCCAATTAGATATGGTTAACTGCCGGGGTGATGATGATGACAGCGGTAAAAATTTAATCTTTAAATATAGATTTTTTTGGTATACAGGGTGTAGGGTAAATAATGGATAACCTTGCACCTGCCGATAAGCCTGCTAGTGGCCTATTCGAATATGAAGTATTCGAATAAAAGAAAACACATTCAAATAGCCTACGCCCTGGATACAACATTGTTATAAATATTGTAATATTCAGAGGTTCTAAATAATTAAGATGTAACTGTTGTCACTCTTAACAGACCTCTATATTTGATTCTTACTTGTTATTTATGGCCCAAAAGATTACATAAATCGTAGTCCTTAGCGATTTACGCCATTAATAGGCTTGGCTATTAATAATGTCTTTAATATTCTAAAACCGGGTCATTCACCTCTCTAAATCTATATGAGTAAAGCTGTAAAGGCTGAGATGTACACACATAGTAGGCCAAGAGCCTAACAGCATCTATGGAATCACAGAAATTAATTAAATCGAAATCGCAAATCTTCAAATAACTTACCCGTGAATCGTACGTATGTTTATAATTTTGAATAATTAACTGCTCATAAGAAAATACTGACTTTAATTATAAAATTGCAGGTTATATTGAAGTTGCGTTGGACTTTTGTCAAAGACATCTGATGAAAAACATATTCAAGACGCAAGTGATCATCAGTGGCTTCTCCGATTACAGAGACTATCATGATAATTAGACACAACAATTTTCTCGTAAATTTTAATATTATCATTTGTAATTTTAATAAGTTACAATTTTATAGTCTAAATAATGCAAGATAAAACAAGATCTGTATGCAGTCGTAAAGGTAATGGCATCATGTGCTTGAAAAAGGTCCTACTTTGTTAGCGGGTAAAAGAAAACAAATCTTAAAAAGAAATGACGACAGTTTTCTTCAATAGAGTACCAAGCATAGACTCGGAATAAAGTAATATTCAAACATTATTGACTAAAACATCTCGGGGCTTACCTAAATTGAATGCAATATCTAAATTAATCTGTGATCAATTTAATTTCATTTAATAAAATGTATTAGCACATAGTTGCTAAAAATATTTTAAAAGACGAATAGCAAAACAGGAACCATAAACAACTAAAAGCTATAAGTAAAGGTAAACCAAAAAAGAAAAACATTTGATATTGTATTTATTTTTTGTTATATCTATTTATTTATTTAATGGTAAATACATTATATGTTATTATATAACATTAGATGCGTACCACAATTACATATTTCCTTTGTGAGAGACTGGTAGTAACGCCTGAGTTATCCCAAGTTCCACATTGCACCATATTATGAAGCAAATTAAAAATTTAATCATACTTTTTTTTTTTAACTTAAAGTTTACAATTTATATTATTAAAAAATACTAAGCCATAGACCAGGGTCGATAATTTTGAAAATGGTAAAAAGTGAAAAAAAAGTTATAGTAGGATGAAACCCGTTAAAAAAGGACGAGAATATAACAAAAATGAAAGAAAAAATAATTTACGGGCGATCTGAGGTCGGGAAGTGGAAGGGAGGGGGGGGGGGGGGTTTAAGGGTAAAAAACGTTGTATCTCGATTTCCTGCCAAACTACAAGTCCTATGGAAAAAAATGAAAATGACAAGGTTGTAGGTAATAAAGAGACCAACAACTTTTGTAACTAGACTTTTTTCACATAACTTCAAAATTTATGTGAAAAATTCAAATAATCAAGTTTTTGGTTTTTTATTTTTATCTCATGCAAAAACAATTTTTTTTTCACGAAATTTGGTGAAAACTTACCTTTTTATGTCCTAAAGACACTGTCGTTTTTTTGATTTAAAATATTTATTTTTTCACCTTATTTTGACTTAATATCGAAAAAACCAAAAACTTGATTATTTGAATTTTTCACATAAATTTTGAGGTTATGTGAAAAAAGTCCAATTACGAAAGTTGTAGGTCTCTTTATTACCTACAACTTCGTTTTATTTTTCCTTTCATTTTTGTTATATTCTCGTCCTTTTTTAACGGGTCTCATCCTACTATTATTTTTTTTGGTTTCAAAAATTATCGACCCTGGTCTACATTCGCTTAAACCACTCAGGATTTATGCGAGCGTAAGTTCGCATGATGATTACACCAACAACAAGATCAAATCAACAGAAAGTATTAAAACAGAGATTAAGCAATTACAGATACGTTTGTCGCTGTATGTACGCCCACGTGTACGCAGCACATGCACACATACACGTGCGTATACACATACAACACTACTTCACATTATTTTCAACCAAGCTACGAAATAGTGGTTTGCATTAAAAAATGTTTTTGTAAAGTTTTCAAATAAGGTTCGTTAGTGAGATATTTATGAGTTTTTTGTGCTGGTAAAACAATTACATTATTAGTAGTAGGTTAGATTGTTAAAATTTGGCAAATCTTACAGCTGTCTTAAGTGCTTGTTCACAAAGCTGGTCTAGACTTTCTTCTTTCATGATGGCAATTTTTACCTTAGATTGTACTGGTAATACCTGGCAGTATTTAAACAATTCATTGTAATTGTCATAATGTTCCGTTTGTATTTAATGCGCTGCCGTTTGCTTTCTTTCATTCAATATGATTCTCGATTGATAAAAGAATAAGTTTTAGCGAGCGAAACCACCGACAAAATCTAATATTTAATGATAGAGAGATATAGAGAAGTAACTGAAGATATTGAAAATAAAAGGCACTGATATTTAAGTTTCTAATAGTAAATATAAATATTTTTCGAGTATGTTCAAAGAAAAGCCACGTATTAAATGGTTGTGGAGGTAGATTAAGTATTTATGATGAACATACCAACAGTTCGTCAAAAAATATTTTTCTGTGAGTCAAAAAATATTTGTCTGTGGAGTTATGTACTAAATATACGATTGACAAACACTGTCAGTGCGATGTCCGATTTTTAGGTCGAAACCACTTATCTGTATTCATCATACTAAACAAACGATTTTCATCCCAATGCAATGTCCCCATTACTCTTGAAATAAATCAAACAGAACGTTGCTTTGTTTAACCTTCGCCTGTTTTCCTATTATTAACTATCTACTTCGGCCCAGTTTGTTAACTACAATTTTAGTAATTGAAATTATAAAACAATTTATCAACTACACAAAAACAGTAAAAAAAAACATAAAATAAAGGATATGTTCCAAAAAAAAAATATTGGGCAAAATTTCGGCGATTACCATAAAGAATCTTAAAAGTCTCATATCTTGAAAATGGTTATTTTTAGGATATGGTATTTCATGGTGAAATTTATCAGAAATGATGGCAAGTACAACCCCTTAAAGTATTTAGGTCGACTTACCCAGTAACCCTGTATAAATAGATAAAAAGTGTGTGTGTGCAATTCACACACATTTTGCCCGGCCCGGGAATGAACAGACTAAGGCAGCGTTTTTCAAATGCATAAAATGGCGGGTACAAGCTAGTATGAAACAAGAAGATAAAAATATACACACTGTCAAGACATTATAATAATATATTAAAAATAATGTGTCATGTATTCTACCTTATTTTCTCGCCGACTTAATCCTATTCATTTATGTGTTTGTTTCTTTACCGTGACGAATTTTCGTTTTATCGAGTTTCAAATCACAACGATTCTAAAGAAGTTTCACTTTAAAAATCTTATATTTTCTAAATACATATATGTTACCTACACAGAAAACATGACCAAGCTCATTAGACAATTGTTTGTTCTGGATGGGAATTGCACTCACGACCTCTGGCTACTGACTTAGCAGTCAGGTTCACTAACCAAAAAACCCGTCAGAAAAGATAAAGAGAAGATATATAAAGAATTAGTGATATTTCATATCACAGTCTTGCTAGTATTTAAGGTTAAAACCAAAGCTTTCGTCCTGCATTAAATACTGATATTAACCTACCAAATAGTTATTTCCTTACTATCGTAAATTGCTCACTTACCAACCCTTGCTAAACCCTTGTCTTATTTGCATTATATGTTTATGACAAATAAATCTGTCTCGTGTACTATTTACTTTTGATGTTTTTATATCACTGACGAAAAGGGGCTTCTTTGATCATAGATTACTCTGTCGATTTTCATAGCCCTTGAGGTATGTATAAAAGAGATTAAAGAGATTTTAGCCATGAAAGATTGTATTTAAAACAGATAAGAAATTATTCAGTATTAAAATTGAATTTAGTGTTTGAAGCTTGGGTAACAAGACCTGACATAATATATCATGTTATTTTTTGATGAGTCGGGTCGTCTAGGTTATCTGTGCCTAGTGCACGAAAAATTTTCGAATACCTATAGTAATTTTATCGAGTCCTCGATACGTTAACAGAGTTTTAAGATAAGCATCAGCACGAAGCACTAACGTTAAGGAATCGAGAGCTCGATACGATTACGTTAGTGACGTCATACTAACGTAAATAAGGATGAGCACTTAAGAAAGAATTCAACATCTTATTGAATGAACTAAACGTTCGAAAAGCTGAAGAAGTGCGATACGAATACGATAGGTACGATACGCTCGACGATACACAACGAAATACGATACGAATACTTTTTCGCAAGTTGTTCATGCTCGGTTCACAGGTGACAAGAGACTACAACTCTTGTATATATATGTATGTAAGTATGTATATACCACTGAGTACGTTTGTCTACTTAAAGGTCAAAATAGTTAGTATTTATCGCCATAATTTATTACCCCCATCCCCCATAAGTGCGCCTACCTCATTCTTTCTCTGCATCGCCTAATCGGTCGAGTGGCGGAGAATGCTGTAGGCATTAACTCCGCCGATAGATATATTTGTGCAAAAAGTTATAAAATAACATAAACTCGTATGCAACAAGTTTGTAATGGTCCTTTGAATGCTCCTCCACGGTTAGAGAGAGGGTTGGACCTTCGGTAATTTACTAACTCACTCATTGAAAAGTTACAAAAGAATTATTGGTTCCTGTGAGGCCGAGGTATGACCCCGGTCGAGCCCTCCCATGTTATACGAGGGTGCGTTTTTAAGTTCGCGGAATGAGAGGGTTGGAGGGGGGTGATTAAGCTCATTAGAATCCTCACGTGTTCAGTGACTCATAATTAGCATAAATACCAGGTTTCATTGTTACTAGACAATTAGTCTTTGAGTTATCGTCAACCAAGCAACATAATCGGGAGTGAAAAGTGAAACATTGAAAAAATCGAATATCGTGCCGTTATAAAGTTCCTTACCAAGCAAGGAAAATCAGTTGCGACCATAATGAATGAGATGTCATTGGTTTACGGCGACTCTTGTCCAGGAAAAACCATGGTGTACAAATGGCACAGTTTATTTAAACAAGAATGGGAATCCCTTGAAGACAACCCGAGGCCGGGCAGGAGCATCGAGGTGATCACGCCAGAACTTATCCAAAAAGTCGAAAAAATTGTACTCGACGATGCTCGACTAAAGAAGAACCGACTCGCAGAAATGGTTGGAGTATCTGATACAACCATTTTTAGAATTCTGCACGATCATTTTGGCATGACAAAGGTTAGTGCAAGATGGGTGCCGAGAATGCTCACGCCGACGCAAAAACAACAGCGCGTAGAGTGTTCACGTGCATTTTTAGACCTTTGTAATGAAGACAAGGATGCTATATTGAGTAGAATTGTTTCTGGAGACGAAACTTGGGTTCATCATTATGAACCTGAGTCATAACAAGACTCTATACAGT